CTATGCTGAGCTAGCTGATTAGATATCTTGACCTGAATGACCAAGCTGATTCCTGATATCAAGGAACCTTTGAAGTTTCCCTGTACAGATACTATCACACAGGATGTTCTTGTTGGGGTGGGGAGCAAGGCTGGGCAGTCCTTTAATTGGTGAGCCACTGCTTATCACAAGATGGAGGGAGTTGTGCTCAGTTTGTGATCCACATTACATACAGAGTAGAAGGAAAGTCACCTTAGAGGGGAGGACTCAAATAGCTGAGGACTGGAAAAGGCCTCCTGCAGAAGATGGCATCTGAGCTAAATGTTGAAGGAAACTAGGGATTCCAAGAGGTGGGGGTGTGTGGAGGGAGGGCATTCCGTACAGCTAGGGCTGTACCTATAGATCTGTGCCTTTTCTGCATAGAGATGACAATCCATCCTATGGGAGCTGATGAGAGAGAAAAAAGGAATGGAGCCCAGGTTAGAGGTATACTCATAGTGAGTATGACATAAATGGTTTTCAGCAAAAAAAGACTGACCAGAAGTGGCTAGGCAGCCAAAAGAACCAAAAGAGCAATGTCATGAAAACCCAGAGAGGAAGGAACAAATAAATTAATAAAGTGTTTATTAAGTGTTTTTCTAAGTGCAAAGCACTGTTCCAAGTACTGGAGATACAGGTAGTAAGGTTCGATATTTCCTGCTCTCAAAAAGCTCCCATTCTAATGGAGCAGATGACATGTAGAGGTTTCAGCTGCAAGTCAAATGGGCAAGTCCCAAAATTGTTAGGTTATAGCAGCAAAGCAGATGCTAATGCCTCTTCTTTAATGTCATTTCCATTACATCATATCAGTGTCTGACGTTGAACCTTTTGATAATTCTAAGGATTTGAATTTAGGGAGATGAGTCTTCCTGACTCAAGGCCAGACACTCTATCCACTCAGCCACCTAGCTGTCCCTTAGAAAAGATATGAGAGAGAAGATAGTGTGGGGTCAAATTGGTTCATCAAGGGGGAGGAATGGGAAGGGAGGTCATTGTGTAACCAGAGCAGTAGTGATTGCCTGGAACAGTCAAATGAAGTCAACAATTAGCAATTATGAAGTGCCTACCACTATGCTAAGCAACAAGGATATATAGAAAAGCAAAAAAACCAAAACACCAGTCCCTGCTCTCAAGGAACTTACATAGTTTAAGGGAAGGGACAAACCACTATATATGAACAAGATATAGACAAGATAAATTGGAGATAATCTCAGAGGGATAATCCTCAGTTTAAAGAGGATTGGGAAAGATTTAGAAGGGGGGCATTTAGCTGGGACCTAAAAGAAGCCCGGAAAGCCTGGAGGTGAAGACAAGGACAGAGAGAATCCTAGAAATAAAGGACAGTCAGTAAAAATGTCCAGAGGAGCTGGGTTGGAGTGCCATGAGTAAGAAAGCGAGGAGTCCTGTGTTACTGCATCACAGAACAGTGGTAGGGAGTAAGGTATAAGAAGACTGGAAATATAGGAAGGGGCCAGATTGTGAAGGGCATTAAAAGTTAAGCAGAGAATTTTATGTTTGATCTTGGAGGTTATAGGGGAACATTGGAGTTTATTGAATGGAGGTGGGTGGGTAGGATGAAGGGATTGATTACATGTTCAGACCTTCACTTTAAGGAAGATCAATTTGATAGCTGAGTAGAGGGTGATCTAAGGTGGGGAGAAACTTGGGCAACAAGACCAACCAGAAGACTGTTGCATTGCTCTCAGTCAAATGAAGAGATGAAGGCCTGCACCACAGTAGCTGCAGTGTCAGAGGAAAGAGACATATAGAAGGGATGTTGACAATTGGTTGAATATGAAGAGTCAGAAAGAGTGAGGAATGGAGAACAACACCCAGGTCGCAAGCCTAGGTGACTAGGATATTAGTGGTATCTTCCATAGTAATAGGGAAGTTAACAAGAAGAGAGAGTTTGAAGGGAAAGATAATTCAGTTTCGGACTCATTGAGTTTAAGATGTCTATGGAATATCCAGTTCAAGATGTCCAGTAGACAGTTGGAGATGTGAGAGTTGAAGGCAAGAGAGAGAGATTAGGGCTAAATGAATAGTTTATGAGGGGTAGAGAGATTGGAGAGCATGGTGAGGAAAAAGAATATCGTTATAACAGAAGAATAGTCAAATATAGGGAGAGATATAATGATAAAAGATAATTATTATTCCAATAAAAGAATTTTGGAGTTCTTGAACATGGAATACCTGTAAGTGACAAGGGCAAGATCAAGGGGTATGAGCATGCCTTTGTGTAGCTGAAGTGGCGGGGAATAATTATGGGAGTTGAATAGATGGAAGATCTGAGAAGTTAAGGTATTTGAGGAAACATCAACATATGTTGAAGTCCCCCATGATGAAGGCTGGAGTTGGGATGTAAAGGGAGACTGTGAGTCAGGCAGTGAATTCATTGAGAAAGGGGGGAGAATGTCCTTCGTGTTGGTCTGGATTGGGTGATAAATTTGGATTGTGAGAATTCTAAAGGAAAAGAGGTTGCTAAGTGATGACTTGGAGGCTCTTTTTGGAGAAAAACTCCAACTGCCTTTTGGAGATTTCGAACTGAATGTCTCATAAAATGAATGTTCCAAACTGAACTCATCTTTCCATCCAAACCCTCCTGTCTTCCTAACTAGTCCCCATCACTGTTGAAGGGGGAAAGGAATGGGAATAAGCATTTACGAAGCCCCTACATGCTGTGTGCCAGGCACTGTGCTAAGCACTTTACAAATATTAGCTCATACCATCCTCTCAATCATCTAGGCTTACAATCTAGGGGTCATTCTCAATTCCTCTCTCATCCCCCACCCCTATCAAATCAGTTGTCAAGATCTGTCATTTCTGTCTTTTTAACATCTTTCATATATACCTCCTTCTGTCTTCTGATTTTATTTCACTCCTCATTTCACACCTAGACTATTGTAATAGCCTGCTAGTTGGTCTCCCTGCCTTCCATCCAGATAATTGATCTTCCTAAAGCACAAGTATGACCATTAATCTCCTGTTCAATTAACTCCAGTGGCTCCACTACTGGCTCCAGGATCAAATATAAAATCCTGGCTCTGGCTTTTTAAAGCCCCCCATATTCTGACCCATTCCTACCTTTCTAGTCTTCTTACATAGCTCGCTTGTGAAGTAGATACAGAAAGGGACCTGGAGTCAGGAAGACCTGAGTTCAAATCAGACCTCAGACATTTAACTAGCTGTGTGACTCTGGACATGCCACTTACCTTCTATTTGCCTCAGTTTCCTCATCTGTAAAATGAGGATAATAATAGCACATCTCAGGGTTGTTGTGAGGATAAAATGAAGTATTTGTAAAGCACTTTGCAAACTTTAAAGCACTATATAAATGGTAGCTATTTATCATCATCATCGTCATTATTATACCTGACAACTCTCTCTTCTCTTACTCTGTGATCCAATGACTTGTTCCTCACAGGAGATACCCCATCTCCAGACTTCCAGCATTTTCATTAGTGATAGCCAACGAATGGGCACACCCCATTCCTGGGAGTTTCCTCCTCAACTCCACCTTCTGGCTTCCCTGAACTCTCAGCTAAAGCTTTGCCTGCTATCAGAAGTCTTTTCCAACTTCTCCTTAATCTTAACCTTCCCTCTGATATTATCTCCGGTTACCCTGTCTACACCAGTTTTGTACATACTTGTTTGCAGTCTTCCCCTTTTAACTGTGAGCTCCTTGAATGCAGAGATGGATTTTTTTTTCTTTGTATCCCAATGCTTAGTGCAATGCGTGGCACATAGTAGGAGGTTAATAAATGTTTGCTTACTGACTAACCGAAGAAGCAGATAAAGAAGTTAATGCAGTTGGTTTTGTCCTGTGTCCAAAAAAAATCAAACATCATTTCATGGGGCATTTGGTATCACACAGTGCCAGTTCTGATGAAAAATACTTTCAAAAGGAATATCATTTATTAGCTGACATTGGACAAATTACTTAACTTCGTAGTGCGTCAGTTTCCCTATCTGTAAACTGAGATTACACTCGAATGACCTTTAAGGTCCTCTCCTGAACAAAAGCTATGATCCCATACCTAAGGAAAATAATTGTTATTTAGATGCCATTCTAAGACTAGGCCAGTTCCCAGAACTAAGAAAGCCATTCTGGTTAAATCAACATATCTTTGATAGCACTCAGTACAGGAGAATTTGCAAGTTAAAAAAAAAAAACCTTCGTTTTATTCCCTTGGCATGCACAAAGTAGGTGAACAGCAGTTGAATTAACACCCCACATTTGCATGACATTGACCCAAGCAGTTTCTGAAGGAGTTGGCTTTGTTTGGGCAGGGGTTTTCGGGCTACATCCTGAATCCAATAGGTCCCCAAGTCCATTACTGACAATTCCTCCAGGCACCGGCTTTCCCGGGTCGAGTTCATCCCCTCCCACAGCAGCCCGGGAGCCTCAGCATCTCGCTTCTGCTCAGCTCCCGGCCTCTGGACTCCAGGGTGCGAGCCTCCTCCCGTGCATCCCGCCCACTTCTGCAAGAGAGGGAAGAGCATCTAGTCCCACTGGACCTTCCCGGAGGGAGCAGCAAAGAAGGGAGAGGGAACGAGGCAAGAAAACGAGCGAAGGGCAAGGATGATTCAGAGTGAAAAGAGGGAGGAGAGGGAGGGGCACAAGGGAGTCAGGTGAGACCGCGACAAAGAAGAGAGAGGCCGGAGCTAGGAGGAAAAGGAAGAAAATCCCGAGAAGAGCAGCGCAAGGAGGCCGGCCCGGAGGGGAGGAGAAGGGGGCGGGGGTGGGAGTTGGGGGGCTAGGGAGGAGGAAGAGCCGCGAGGCAGACGCGAGCCGGGGAGGACCGGAGGGAGGGGGCCCGGGGCGGGGCGCGGGGCGGGGCTCCGGGCGGGCGGTGCCGGCCCCCCATCACGTGACGGGGGCCTGGCGGCTGCGGCGGCGGTGGCGGCGGCGCGTCGTTCGCGGCGCCCAGTGCACCATGGTGGTGGCGGCGGCGGCGGCTTCTGTAGAGGCTGCGGGAGGAGCGGCGGCGGCGGCGACGGCGACGGCGGTGGCTTCGCCTGCGCCTGTGGGTGGTAGAAAATGGCGGATTTTGAGGATTTGCGGGTAAGCCCGGGATGGGCAGCGGTAGAAATTGAGGAGGGACGGGAAGCGGCCACGTCCTCCTCGAATCCCGGAGGCAGGGTTGGCCCTGCCCGGCAGACCCCCGGCCCCAGCCCCGAGCCGATCCCGGGCCGAGCCGCGGGGCCTGGAGGGGCGCCCCGAGTGAGCCGCCCCCTCCTCGCCCCTCTCTTTGGGGGGAGGAGCCGGGGGCGCAAGCCCAGCGTCTGGGGGGGTTTGGGGGAGGGTCCAGGCCTCCGGCGCGGCCCCCACCCCCTCGTGGGTGGGAGTGCATGCACACATATGGGCGTGCATCGTGTGTTGATGGAGACACTCGCGGGTGTATGTGTGTGTGTGTTGTATCTGTTCATTTGGGGTCTGTAAAAGGTGAAATGGGGGTAAGAGCTTTGTTGTTTTGTGTTTTCTCCCCTCTTCCTGGTGCTGCTGTTGTGGAGGCTAGGCAGGTTTGCCAAGGGAGCCCCAGACTCCACAGTGTGACTGGTGGCACGGAAACAAATGAAGGAGCCCCTTCCAGTAACAACTCCGATATCCTCCTCCTCCTTAGGCTGCCGATCCATGGGGCAGGCTGGCTGGACGTGGGTTTGGATGGTCAGGTGAAACCAGCGCCAAGGACAACACTGCCTGGCCCTTGGACGAGCTTTTAGTGTTATTTCCTCGTGACTCTAACAGATAATTGTAATCATGGAATATTGGAGTTATGAGGGTCCTTAGTGGTCACCCAATCCACGCCTGCAATCATTAAGTGCCTACTGTGGTTAGGGCTGAGAGTCCGGCATGGCGGAGACACCAGGGTCTCTCAAACATCACATACTACCACTAGCGCCTGTTTTTGTACTTGCAAGCCAAGAATGACTTTTACATTTTAAAATAAAATTTTATTATATTTTAAAATGCAAAAATTGTTCTTAGCTCCTGGCCTCACAAAACTGGGGGAGGCAGGATTTGTTCTCCTGCAGAGGTGGTATGGCGGCTGGAAGTTACAAGTTAAGGTTCTTTCCCAGACACTGCAAGTCACTTAATCTCTCAGTATCCTTGCTTCTCTCTGAGACTTTATATTGGTGAACAGTTGCTAATCTGCCTTAGCAAGCCCTAGGAACTCTCTTCTAAGAAAGAAATCCAAGGTTCAGAACCGGAAAAAAAATGCCCTAGGCACTGTGATGGTAGCTAGTGATTCACAGGCCAAATGAAAAGTTTATTCTTCTAGGAGTTTATGTATTTTAGGAGGATACGGCCTATTATTATTTACTAAGCACTAACTTGGTGGGGACCTCAGTGCTAAGCACTGGGGATACAAAGAAAGTCGAAAGGTGTGCCTGGCACCATGCAAAACACTGGGAATACCAGTACAAAGGAGAAAAACATTCCCTGTCCTCTAGGAGCTTACATTTTAAGAGGGGTGATGGGGATGACCTCAAAGGAAGCTGAAAAGTGAGGTGGAGGGAGAAAATGAAGAGCTGTGGAGTTTGGGGGCTTGGTAGAGAGTTAGGAATGTCACCTGTAGAGGAATAAAGGTAAGACTGGTCTGGAGAGCCTCCTTAAAATGGAGATTCTGAAAGGAACCGGACCCTGCCCTCAAGGAATTGACAATCTAATGGATGAGGCCACTTGAAAACTATTGTGTATAAACAAGCTATATTCTTGATATATAAATTGAAAACAAACAAAACTAGGGATGCATTGTTATTTAGGGAATCAGAAAAGGCTTCTTGTAAAAGGTGGAATTTTAGCTGATACCTGAAGGAAGTAGGAGGCGAGATGAGGATACAGCCAGAGAAAATGTCCAGCCAGAAGAGGGAGTGTCCTGTGTGAGGAACAGCAAGGAAGCCCCTGTCATTGGATTGAAGAATATTTGGAGGGGAGTAAGGTGTGAGAAGACTGGAAAGGTAGGAAGGGGCCAGATTATAAAGGGCTTTGAATGACAGCATTTTATATTTGATCCTAGAGGTAATAGGAATTATTTATTGAATGGGGATTATATAAACAAATCTTCACTTTAGGAAGATCAATTTGACATCTAAGTAGAGGACGGATTATAGAGAGGAAAGACGTGAGTCAGGGAGGACACCCACTAGGCCATTTCAGTAGTCCAGCTGTGAAATGATGAGGGCAGTGTCAAAGAAGTACAGTATAAGATGAGTATATGAAGAGAGAGAAACACTAACAATAAAAGCTTCTTGTAGGAGGTGGCACACAAACTGATCTTTGAAGGAAATTAAAGATTCTTAAGAGATGGATTTGGAAAAGGGAATTGAAAACTTAGGCAAAATAGGAGATGGAATGATGAGTTCATGAAACAGGTAGGCCACTTTGACTGGATAGTACCTGAAGGGGAGTAATGTGAAATATGCCAGGAAAGCTAGGCTGGAGCTAGATTGTGAAGAGTTTTAAAATTCCTGACAGAATAGTTTGTATCAGCAATTGAAAGCTTCTGAACATTGCTGACCATATTTTATTTTCACTGCTGTTTGGCAGACAGATTTGAGAGGGACAGGGATTTGAGTTTGTTGCAAATGTATAAGCAAGAGGCAGGAAGGGCTCTGAACTGTGGTGCTGGCAGTATGAGTGGTGAAAAGGGATGGATGCAAGAGATGTGGTGGGAGAATTGACAAGATTTAGCAACTTCTAGGTTATGGGGAGAGAGTGAGAGTGAACAGTGGAAGGTTTCTCTTAAGTGGTAAACATGGGTTACTAGAAGCAACCTGGTAACCTCTACAGAAGTTGGAAGTTCTGTTTTGGATGTGTTGAATTTAAGATACCTACAGTTAGAGATGCCCAACAATCCATATCTAGTCCTCTACCTAGTGATTACATTTCCTCTACCACATCCTTGAAAAGTGACCATTTAGCCTATGGTTTACCACCTAATAAACAGTGAATTTCACTTCTAGGCATTACCGTGTTTTAGATAGAGTGTCTGGTCTATTTCAGTAATTTCATTGGCATAGTGAACTCCTAGTGTTGAAAAGGTTCATGAAATTCAGCAGTGGCTTTTGACTTAAGAGTCTTGTTTTTACCTTTTTTTAAAAAAAAATTCTGGACTTAAAACACAAGTTATGAGCATTTCCCAGTACAAAGTAGGACAGAAGAAGAGAGTTGTACATGGAACTGAATCTATTTTGTACAATTTGTTTTTCAAATATATAATAAAATTATTTTAAAAGCTGTTCTGTTTGTTACCCTCTGATCTTCTGGGCATTTTATTTAAAAATTTACTGATCATTTTTTCTTTATTTTCTTTCACCTTATTGCTAGGCGTCCACTCCCTCCTAAATTAAAAAAAAAGAAAACTACATCCCTCTAACATATGCAAAATAAATTCCCTTATGGACCATGTCTGAAAATGCATGTTTCATTCTGTATTTTGATTTTAATATACTCTGTCAGGAAGTAAGTAACATGCTACCTCTTACGTTCTTTGGAATCAGAGTTCTTCATTCCATTGAATTCAATTCTTAAATCTTTCAAAGTGAATAAGAGTGATTTTTTCTTTACAGCGTTATTTGTTACTTTATAAATTGTTTTCATTTTACTCTTCATCAGTTCATATGTCTTCTCAGATTTCTCTGCAACCTTCCCTTTCATCATTTTTAAGGCACAATAGTATTTCATTACATTCATTACGTTCATATTCTACAACTTTTTCAGTCATTACCCAATTGATGAGCAACCCCTTAGTTTCTAGTTCTTTGGTACCACAAAAAAAAGTGCTTATAAGCATTCTTGTGTTGTGATTGAAATCTGCAAATAAAAAAAAAAATCAGCTTATTAGCAAAGTGAGCATTTGCCAGTAAATGGGGTTCAAGGCTCTTCAGTAATCAAGGACCCCTCCTGACAGTCAGGGCATGTCATAAAAGAGGAACCTGGAAAGGGCAAAGAAAGGGACACAATTTATACACCGTGGGCATTATCGAGTTATAATTGGGTTGTATCAGAGAATGGGGATTTTGCAAAGCCCCAGGAAACAGCAGCTACTCCCTGGAATATCTGGCATCTGTGTTTTATGGAATACATTTGACCTTTTAAGTAAGCTCCTAAAAGTGGGTAGTGGGTGACTTATAAGGTCAAAATAGGGCACTAAAATTGTAGGCTTAAGGAATTTAAACACATATAATGAAGGAGAATAGTAATTTGAATTAGTCTTAATGAAGTAGAGTAGTATATCAAATTTTAATATCACATTTGATTTTTTCCTTGAACTACCTGTTCATATCCTTAGACTATTTATCAATTGGGGAATAGCTCTTAATTTTAAAAGTTTGAATCAATTCCTCATAAATTTTGTAAATGTATCACAGAAACATGCAGAGATTTTTCCATTTGTTTCCCTTTTAGTCTTTGTTAAATTTGTAGAAAATCAATTCAGTTTTATGTAATCAATGTTATCCATTTTATCTTCTTTTAGGCTTATCCCTAGATCTGATAGGTAATTTTTTTCCATATTTTTCAAATTTTCTTATGATGTGATCTTTTACAGCTAGGTCACATCCCCAGTTGGTGATTATCTTTGTGTGAAGTGTTGGTCAGAATTACTTTTTTTGAAGCAGAACTTTATACTGTTTTGCTTTCTATTTATTGTCATTCTAATCCTGTCTATATAGGTAGGGACTATTGTTTATATCTCCATTCTGTTAAAGCTTTTTCTGAAAACTGTATTCTAATTTTTCTTGAATATGAATATCATGGAAATAGGAACCAGAGACCACAAAAAATTCAGTTAGTGACTTATGTTCACACATGTGTATGTATATTTTTTTTTGTTGAAATTCACCTTTGATTTAGAAAAGTAAAATCTTAAAATTCTGATTCTTATGGAACATATTACATCTCCTTTTCCTTCTATTTCCTTGTATACTCCAAAGGAATGACTTTTTCTAAAAGTTTTACACTATAGGTTCCTTCTGGTAAACCCTCTGCCTCTGTACCCTTACAGTATGTGAGATATTTAAAACCTGACATTGAAGAGTTATTTGATTTCACTTTTGAAG